TGTTGAAGGGTTACGTTTGTTGAGTCTGTCCCTGGAAGAGTGACGTAGATCAGTACATAACTTGCGCATTGCTGTTTGAGAATGGACGCTACAAGCGATTCTCCCAGTCCAGTGAATGTTAGTGAAGGAAGCACCTCTTCAGCTGGACTTGTTTCGGAGTCGTCTTCTGCAACTGCAGTTCGTGCAGGTAGGTGACAGAGTGATATCCACTGTTCTCGTAGGTTCGATAGTTCGTCAGTGAGTTGCTGTTTTTGATGATACGAGTGGCGAGCACCTGTAGGCTCTCTGAACAGCCATCGGTTCAAGTAATCAACACTACCAGCCACTGAAATATATAAAAATAAAAAAATTCTTATTTTAACTGTGTGCACTTGACAGATGGTGTGCAAAATTCATGTGCAATATATCGCCAAATCTGATAAGAAATACTTGTCATAAAAGATCAGGAAAATTTCTATACGAAATAGAAAAACACTTTCAACTATTTGACATTTATATTTAAAAGTTTTATAAAAAAAAAAAAAGAAAAGTGAAAAGATCCCTCCTCGATTTCAAATATTCAACCCTTAATCTGTTTCAAGAGAAAATTGGACTGATCGTGTATTACTATTAGCTGGGCTATATGATGGTGCTGTGTACTGTTAGTCTACATAGATGTGGTTGAATTCTCAAAAACCACCCAACCATTTGACTCAAACAAAATTATGCAAATTAGCTACCAAAAACTATTGAATGGTTTAAATGATTAAATGTTGCTTGTATGATGACACTAGTTGGTATACAGTGCTGATATTGATTGTGAAAATAACTTCAATTCTGAATTTTTAGCAAATATTTTTGCCATTTTTGGTAAAAATACTATTGTCAAATTCTTTTTAAAATTAATTTAATTTAATTAATTAAATTTATTAATTTTTAATGTATATGTATGTACCTAGTGGGTGGAGTTTTGCCAAAATTTTTCAATTTGTGACAATATCTTCAATTCTCTATGTTATGTTGTTTTTGACTCACAATAGTAGTCTTTGTGGCTAGTATGTATGTATGTCTGTGTTTGTGTGATCGTTTCATCAATATCTCAAGAGCAAATTATCAGATTTAAACAAAACTTGGTACATAGATGCTCTGGGATGATGTGCAGACCTCATTAGTTTTTGTTGAAATCTGTGCATATTTTTCTCATGAACAATTCAAAAGATTTCAGTGAAACTTTATAGATAAATACTCTGGGATAATGTGCAAACCTATTTTTGTTGAATTCTGTGCATATTAATTACCTTATCAGCATATTAATTAGCCAATTTAAGCATTTTCACTTGTCTCATGTAACATTCTACAGATTTCTATGGAACTTGGTGCATACATGATCTGGGTTGAAGCACAGATCTGATCCAAACATAAAAATTTCCTAATTTGCATATTAATTAGTTAATTTTAAGCTTTTTCATCATTTTCACTTGTCTCATGTAACATTCTCTAGATTTTAATGAAACTTGACACATAAATGCCTGAGACAATGTGCAGAGCTGATCAGTTTTTAGTTGAAAGCTGTACATCATAATGACCTAATTTGCATATTAATTAACCAAATTCAAGCCTTCTCACTTTTTTTTCGGGAAATGCATAAGAGGTTTCAATGAAACTTGATACATATATGCTCTGGGATAATGTGCAGATCTGATTAGTTTTGGGTTGGAATACATGCATATTTAATAATTTGCATATTAATTAGCCAATTTTAGGCATTGTTTCCCAAGCCACTTATAAACCCCCCTAATCACTGCTTGCAGTTACATTTTTAAATAATTCAATTGTTCTATTAGAAGCACATGAGCTTACTGTAAGTATGAATGAAAAAGACAAGTTCATGGTTAAATTTTTGCTTAATGTGCATTGAAGGTGTGTTTCTAATATAATAATAAATACAGCATTCATGCATTCCTTACTTGTATTTCATGCCTCTAATGTCAATGTCAGCACAGAGGTGTTGTTTTAAGTTTTCTTTAATTTTACTTCTTGAAAACTGTCAGCTCAATTACTTTGGTACTTGGTATGATTAACAAGTTGATAACCATTGTAGTTGCCATATAAACTAACATGGTTGTGATTTGGAACATTTTGATAACAATGACCATGGCAAATCACTAATACATCATCGTATAGATATTATCAACAATTATTAGATTTTATGTCAGACCTGATACAGTTTCAGTGGAAGTCTGTGCATGTTACTAATATGTAACTGTTTTACACTGCATGCCACACATAAAAGACTATAATATATGGAAATAACACTTTATTTCTGTAATCCCAAATGAAGAGCCATTTTTTTATACAACTTCCTTTTCTAGATATTCCAATTTGATTTTCCAGCAATGGATTGTGGGTAGAGCATGATATTCAGTGAATTTTAATCTTTGTTTGCGCTTCCCCTTTCTCAGAAAAATATGCAAATGTACTGATATTACAATTATATGTCTTAATTTGTTTCTGGAAATTTAATTTAATTGTTATACCGTTCATCTACAGAAAAATATGCAAATGTACTGATATTACAATTATATGTCTTAATTTGTTTCTGGAAATTTAATTTAATTGTTATATCGTTCATCTACAGAAAAATATGCAAATGTACTGATATTACAATTATATGTCTTAATTTGTTTCTGGAAATTTAATTTAATTGTTATATCGTTCATCTACAGAAAAATATGCAAATTTACTGATATTACAAATATATGTCTTAATTTGTTTCTGGAAATTTAATTTAATTGTTATATCGTTCATCTACAGAAAAATATGCAAATGTACTGATATTACAATTATATGTCTTAATTTGTTTCTGGAAATTTAATTTAATTGTTATACCGTTCATCTACAGAAAAATATGCAAATGTACTGATATTACAATTATATGTCTTAATTTGTTTCTGGAAATTTAATTTAATTGTTATACTGTTCATCTACAGAAAAATATGCAAATGTACTGATATTACAATTATATGTCTTAATTTGTTTCTGGAAATTTAATTTAATTGTTATACCGTTCATCTACAGAAAAATATGCAAATGTACTGATATTACAATTATATGTCTTAATTTGTTTCTGGAAATTTAATTTAATTGTTATACCGTTCATCTACAGAAAAAGATATTAAGGTTGTTTCGGTGAATCTGAAAACTGAGCATAATGCTAAATGTCATCACACTGAAGAATATGAAGTACCCAACTTGATTGTCAGACGTGGACAACAATTTGATATTGTGGTGCAGTTTAACCAGCCAGTCAATTTGGATGAACATACAATCAACATAGAAGTGCATTTAGGTAAGTGTTAAGCTTAGATCGAGTGGTAGATGCAGGCATGAAAAGACTCTTCTTTCAATTTTCCTTTTCTCTATATCATAGATTGAGGTAGCAGTACATAAATATTTTTTCTTGTGGTTGTAATAACTTGAAAAATTTTCATTCATTGGTTTTCAAACCTGAATATATTATAAGTATCAACCATGATTCTCATTGGTGGATCAGTACGTGCTGTCCATGTTTCTGATGATACCGGTAGATGATAACCTGGCAAAATGAAGATTGCACATAAATTATCAATGTTTGCCCTAATTTGTAAGAATCGTTTAAATAGCAAACCCATTATGGTTTGTCCTTGTTAAGAATTAAGAATTTCAGCAACAAAATAACTTGAGATATGCTCAAAGGGTGGTGGTTGTCACGTTGTTGAATTTCATGTAAACATTTCGTACACACGTTGATAGTTGCTATGGGACCAATACCAAACAGAACGTGGTGCGAAGCATACTAATTATGCATATGTGACATATATACCGGTACTCAATTTTCGATATTTCTGGGTATAATATGTTTAAGTAAAGAGCTGTCCATTATTCTGTGATACCAGGGCTCGGATAAAAATAGTTATCAAGATAATCACTTATAATTAGGTTAACTGAATATCCCATTATTGCACACATTCCTTTGACCTGATATCATGCAATGATGTACTTCCTAAGTATCACTATTGAACAGCTGATCAGGAAATCTTTGAAAAAATTACCAGTTTTTCCAGTATTCTATTTTCAAATAAATTTATGAAGTTGAGTGGTCTCCAATGTTGAATTTTATTCAAGTTCAAACCAAGGTAATTTTACTTATACATTTAGGATTTAATACTTTTGCAAGGTCAAAGGTCATGTAATAAAAATCATTTATTTAACTTGCATAAAATTATTGAATCCGTTTCTAGGTGAGAAACCTTCCGTGCTGAGAGCGACAAAACTGAAAATACCACTGGGTGGTGAAAATCTCACTAAATGGAAAATTAAAATACAGAAGCAATCAGATAATATGGTTGCCTTGGTGATCATTCCACCGGCAACAGGAATTGTTGGTCGTTTCACTCTATGTGTATCCAAGACAATACCGGGGAAAACAGTTTTATTATGGCAGTCAAAGACAGCATATTTACTGTATAATCCATGGTGTGAAGGTAAGATATTCTAAAATAATAATAAGTTATCAACCATATAAATTAGAGCACAAACAGCTAAGAGACTAATGTCATACTGATGTCTGGCATAAATGTGTGGATGGATGGAGGGATAAGTTTGCAAATCATTTTCTACAAAGAACCACTGGCTGGATTGGAATGCAATGGGTACATAGATACCCATGATTTAGTTCAAATCAGTTTAGGTACAAATCTGTGCATATTAATTAGATAATTTGCATTATAATCAATCAATTTCAGCATGTTTCAACAGTATCTCCACAACTGTTGCTCCTTTATAACATGGTTCACATGCATACTCTGTGTATAATTTAATGTCTAACACTACATTCGAATTGTTTAGTTGATAAACAACTGCTTGTTCAAATGGATTAAAAGTGTTTGAAATTAGTCTGTGCATATTAATTAACTAATTTGCATAACATTTCTGTCTAGAGAAAAATCATTCTATATAAATCATGATACAGAAAAAAAAACACTACCCCAGTATATAAATAAAAAATCCTACACATATTTGATGGAGGAAATTTAAACAATTTTTTTAAGCCAACATCCTGGAAAAACAAAAAAACTAGAGTTTTCCAATGATAAACCCCTAATTCTGGTAATATTGTACCATATTCTAAATAATGAATGATTTCTATATTCCGTATATAGATAACTTGTCATAAATCATTACCATATTGTTATACCCCTCTGATTTGATGTCATACTTCACATCATGATTAATAAACAAATGACAGATTGATTTGTGGGTTGTCAAATGTTTGTGAAATTTGATCAGTGGGTATTATCCTTCTATTTATATGCCAGAATATGACTGTGTTTTTAAAATAACATATACCATATTAGTTGTATTTCATATTAGTTTTTATACAGACAGCAGTTTACTTGTATACTGTGTTTGCTAAATTTAAAGAAAAGTTAACATGATAGCAAAATGGACTTTTTGATTTGTATACTATAAATGTATGTGCTATTAACATCCAGTGAAACAACTACATTGTAGTTTTCCTGGCTAATAATAATAATAATAATAATAATGAATACCTAATAAATTATTCAACAATATATTTCATGAATTGACACTTTCACTTCATTTCATGTTTGCATTATAACTATCATGTTTGTTGTTCCATAGCTGACAGTGTCTACCTAGACGATGAGAAACAACGAGAGGAATATGTTTTAAATGATACTGGCTTCATTTATGTTGGATCCTGCAGGAATCCATCACCAAGGCCATGGAATTTTGGACAGGTAGTGTTGTCATGGTGATACTCATTATGAACTACTATAAACTGCTGTTAACAGTTTTATGTGGGTACAGATTCATTAATTAATTGAAACTGAAAATAATATTATTTTCCTAATTCACCATGAAAGATGTTTTTTAATATGGCAGGTTGTTTTTTTCTAGATAATTTCATTTTAGCTTTAATTTTTTTTAAACAGGGTATTATGTTCCAATAATATGGTGCCCATTTTGTAATTTATTATGTAAAGTTTAAAACTTTTTAATCTTTGCAGGTAAAGCCTAATTAATTTAATTAGAGATATTGAAATGAATTCTTAACAAATCTCATAAATTCACGGTTGATAATTTTTATGATAATAATAACTGATTTGCATAAATTATGTTTTCGAGAAAATTAAACTATCAATAACCTCCATTGTTTTATGAGAATTCAGACCCAGTATTTCAGTGACTAAGCTTGGTAAAACTGTCTGAGAGAATACATTGCTGCCAGAATGAATTTCAATTATATGACATTTATGCGTCTCAGCATGTATGTATGAGAAGCACTGAAGGGGGCCTTAAATAAACCTAACTTTATATGCTGGTTTGCATATTAATTAATACTAATATGATCTATTAGATACATTCCTTAATAGGAAAATGGAATTATTTTTATTTTAGATTTCATATAGCAATATACATATTTCATTTTCGACTTCAAAAAAATATTTTTTCTGAAAATTATGTAAAAACTAAACAAACAGCATATTAAATATTCTATTGTAGTTTGACGATGCTGTGCTGGAGGCAAGTTTTTATCTGTTGGAGCAGGGAATACGCATCCATGAACGTAACAATCCATTAATGGTTACCAGACGAATATCAGCAATGGTAAGTGTGAAATAGACAAGTTTACGGTTATGTTCTAAGATGCAGTATAGTGTCAGTGTGTGAATGGCGCTTAATATACTACTTTCTGTCATCATTTGTTTTTCGTATCTTAGATGTATTATTGTGGTGTAGAAGACAACATGAGTGTATTTGATTTTTGAGTTGATTCAGCTGAGAGTATGTAGAGTAAACCTATTATTTAAATTGTGGTCAATATATTTCTCAGATATTTGTTACATGCCCTGCATGCACATGGATGTGGATATAGAAATTTATATAGAAGATTAATTAAAATTTTAATTAAAATGATTTCTCAGACTTCTATGAGACCTGAATTAGCTATAAGGCTGATTATGTAGGTGGTAATCCTTTTGTAGGAGATTAATAGGCACAAATCATTTAATCTGTGAAATTAAGAAATATTAGTTATAAACAGCTGTTTTGAATAATTTTTTTGGATATTGCAGGTACAGTAAAATGAGATTAAAAATATGGGATCACTTTTGAGAGATAATATATGTTCAGTATTATCCACGTGCTGAATATAACCTTACTGCTGTGTGAAAGTGCATGCAGCTAATATCAATCATGGAAACACAAACACAGACTGGACAATTATTTATTGTAAACTGAAAACATTCACATATCTCATAACTCTTTTAAAAAGACAGCATATACCGGTAGTACTGGTGTACTATATGACTTGCGTACCAACGATCTCACCTAAGGTCAAAACTCAAACAGTTTTCTAGCTTTTACCTATATTTTTAAAATATTACCCCATGTTTTTTTTTAATACTAAAATTCATTGAAATCGCAAAGTTCCATCAATAGTATGTTGAAACAACTGCATTAAAGGTTTGAACAGTTCTACATGCAAGCAGATTTATTATTACACTTAGACTATTTATAGCTTTGTACATGTATTGTTAAATTCCTTGTGTGTCAAGGAAAATGAAAGTACATACCTTTAGCTGTACAAATTTGTTCTTCAGGTTTCAGTGCCTGTTATTGTTCAGCTATAAAGATTGGGTCATAAAAGGTTACTCTATTATGTATTGTTTGTTCCTCCTAAGGGAGCCTTTAGAAAGACAGGTAGAACACAGACATTCGATATGTCTAAAATCATACACAATTGTCATGCAAATTTACTTTTATGTTGTAAAAGTTTTTAGGAATGTGGATTTATTCAGAAATATTATACACATAATTTGTGTAAATTAAATTGCTCTAAAAATAATTTCAAATTGGTGTTTTTAATATATATTCTCTATTACTGTTGTGAAATATACTGGTATCAAAAGAGCATGCTGTGCTCAAATGTAGACTAGGTTGATTTAATTATATATCATTTATTCTATTTAATGATGTATAAGGCAGGGGTTTAGGCACACTTCATTATATAGTGGGCTCAGACTAGCCTTTTACCTGCTAAGTGTATTGTTGTCATTTTAGGTTGTCTACCGACACCAACAGCTCTATAAATTTAAGCTTATTTATTTATTTATTTATTTATTTATTTATTTATTTATTTATTTATTTATTTATTTATTTATTTATTTATTTATTTATTTATTTATTTATTTATTTATTTATTTATTTACCAGGTGTTTATTTATTTGTTTGTTTTGAAGTATTGATATTTGTATATCAGTAAGCACAGTATGTGTAAGTCCAATTGCACTTAACCATGTAGTCAAGCAAATGACAAATATTTTAAAATGCACTAAGTGTCAAACTAGTGTATTATTCCGGGTGTAAAATTCCAATATGTTCATTCTCACCAACATACAGACTTATCAATAGATTTTGCTTTAAATTCTTCATTGTATTGCCATGTAGACAAATTGCCAAGATGACTCTGGTGTATTGGTTGGTAACTGGTCAGGTGACTATGAAGGAGGATCCTCGCCGTGTGATTGGTTGGGTAGTGTTGCTATCTTAGAACAATATATGAAGACAAAACGACCAGTGTGCTATGGACAGTGCTGGGTTTTCTCCGGTCTCACAACTACTGGTTGGTATAGTCCATGTGTTGTACATATATTTTATAATAATCTGTGCAGTTCACTTAAAATTAGAAAATTGAACAGTTCACATTAATAATTGTCTAATTTCATTCTTGTCACTGGCAAAATATTATTTTCACCTTTTTCTTCTAAAAATTAAGCCACCAGTCAGATTGCATGTTATTTGTCAGATTTTCTCAACAACTCAATAATGATGCTTTGGTATAAAGATAAATATGGATAATGCAATTAGCAACTTTCAGTAATAAATTAGTTCCAACTGTTGTAGTAACCATGGTTCCACCATGCTTGGACATGCCAGTCATTGGTAAATTATTTTAATAAAGATTTTCAAAAGTTTTAAATTGGTCTGAAACAAATAACCTCAGATGACGATGTGCGGTTGTATGTATAGATTATAATAATTTTATTATAATTTTCTAAATGCGGAAGTGTGTGCTGTTCAGTTTATAACCGCCAGGCTGCCGTGTTTCCTACTTGATTACATTCTCAGTCTACTGAATATCATGTTTCGTACTGATGATTTTGTCATTCAGGCCTCTTGTTTTTTATTTTGTTTCAGTTTTGAGATGTCTTGGTATTCCAACCCGAAGTGTGACAAACTTTTCTTCAGCCCATGACACCGATCGTAGTATGACAATTGATAACTTTTGGGATGAAAACTTTGAAGCTATTGAACATCTTAACTCGGACTCTGTTTGGTGAGAAACTATGATTCAAATATCACCAAAAGTTGATCCCTGTTCTCCATGACAATGTCAGATTTCTCCATAAAACAAAAATTCACATTGTTTGCCGTATGTGATTATAATCTGTATAGACAGGAAAGGGCTGTCTGAGGTGGTAAAGAGGAAACGTCAGAGTTTAAAAGTGTGGGTTAGCCACAAAAGCCACCGATCAAGGGAAGCAAATTCTAAATTAATTACTGCTCTCCATGACAATGTCAGATTTCTCTATAAAACAAACACATTGTTTGTCATATGGGATAATAATCTGTATATAAAGGAAATGGCTGTCTGAGGTGGTGCGGTGGAAACATCAGAGTTTTCAAGAGTGTGTCACTGAGGGCAGCAAAACCCGTTTTCAGTCCATAAAAGGTTTTATTATATACCTTATAGAGTCCATTAGAAAATAATTGTTTTGAATTGTTTCATTTATCTTGGGTATTAAAACATTCAATCTAATGTGGACAGTGTAGATTGATATATTCCTGTGCCTGACGTCACAACACCAACATTCTAATACTTGGTCACACTCACAACTTTTGCATAATCTTAAATGTGGTAGGATTTCACAGCTAAATATCCTCCAATGTTGGACATGCAGCTAGTTGTATCTATTTGCAGTAGTTTATTTAGACCAAGTTTAGAATGTATTTTGATATGAATGAGCATGCATATATAATTACTGCTTGGAATGTCAAACTAGCACAAGAAATAATTTATAATAATTCAAAAGTATTGCCAAATATGGTATTGGAATTATACTATTAGGTAACTTGGCTAAGGCATTGAGATGTTGGTGTTAACTACTGCAAAGACCCATCCTTCTATTTTTGTATACAGTGACTATTTTTTTATGAAGAAAAAATTATTTGCTGCCAATGAGATAGTGATTATGTGGTTGAAGATGAATAAATATTGGTATTTCTTTTTAAATACAGGAATTTCCATGTTTGGAATGAATGTTGGATGACAAGACCTGATTTACCTCATGGATTCGGAGGGTGGCAGTTATTAGATGGAACACCTCAGGAAACTAGTGATGGTAAGATTTGATCTATCATTAAACAGTGCTTGTGGTTTGACATAGTAATGATGTCAAATTCATTGTGTAAAATAAAAGCCATATTTATTTATTTATTTATTTATTTGTTTATTTATTTATTTATTTATTTATTTATTTATTTATTTATTTATTTATTTATTTATTTATTTATTTATTTATTTATTTATTTATTTATTTATTTATGTTATTTGTTTGTTTGTTTGTTTATTTATTTATTTATTTATTTATTTATTTATTTATTTACTTAATTATTTATTTATTTATATATTTTATTTATTTATTTTTATTTATTTATTTATTTATTTATTTATTTATTTATTTCAAATGTATTTTAGATATGTGAAATTATAACTTATTTTGTTTACAAGTATATTTTTTATTTACTAATATTATGTATGAATAGATTACCTTCTATAAATAATGTCAAATAAATAAATTCAAACCTATATTTGTACAGGAATTTACCAGACAGGTCCAGCATCACTAGCTGCAGTGAAAGAAGGTCATGTTTACTACAACTATGACACTGAGTTTGCATTTGCTGAAGTCAATGCCGATAAGGTACATTGGGTAGCTAGTCTTGATGCCAACCAGGAAGTGGAATCTCTAGTAAAAGTACGGACAGAGAGAAGATCAGTTGGTAGATTTGTTCTAACAAAGGCTGTTGGAGTTAAAAGATCAGAAAATGTTACTTGTTTATACAAATATCCTGAAGGTAAATTATTATTAATTTATAAACCTAAACCTAAATTTGATACACATTTTCATTTAAAAAAAACTATATATAATTATTAAGCACTAAGCAGCATTGCATCATGGGATTTTTAGTCTCGAGACTAAAAATGACTTAGGCTCTGAGCATCATTTTTCGCAAGAAAGAAAACGTGAACGCAACGCTTGTTTTAATTGGTTGATGTAGCAAATTAACACATTTTCAAAGTCTTTCAAATTAAAATAAGAGACAATACAACTTTAATTGTTTAGGGTAAATTTACAATGTAATCTGGTAATCAGTGGATTTAATAAACCGTGTTGTTTTCATTTAAAATTTGTCTCATTCAGATCCAAACAAGACGTTTAGATTGGATCAGCTAACACCACCCTTCATTCCAATGACTCTGTAAAAGCCCACACAATGCGTATTAACTATCATTTGTGTTTATAAGTCCTTAACTTTATAAATAACTTACAATGTACCTAGCTTTGTTGACTCTAGTGAACCTCCCTGCTAATTCATTTTTCGAAAATGTTTCAGGGTCTGACAAAGAGCGACTTTCAGTTCATCATGCTTGTAGTCATGGCAGCAGACCGGAAACGTACATCACTGATAAAGAGCTGGTCGATGTTGACTGTGACATTATTGTCAAAGATGTGGTTAAAATTGGTGAAGACTTTGACGTCATCGTGAAAGTGACCAATCAGAGTGACGAGAAATGTACAGTGGATATCCGTGTATCATGTCACGTGTGTCGTTATACTGGAATTGTTATCAAGAAGTGCAAAGAGATGAAATTTGATGGTGTTGTGGTTGAACCTAAGTCAAGTAAACATCTTTCATATTGATAATACAATTTTTTTTATACATTGACATTCTGAATTTGAATTTTTAATAAAGCTTAGCAGCGTATACTTCTGGGAAAAGCTTTTGTAAATTTTAAATCGGTTGTCAATAAACTTTGAAGAAGATAAATTTACCTAGGACAATAATGACTGCCTTCGCTAGATCTTTCCATGCAGTATATGCTGTGACCTTTAACCTTGAATATACAATTTTGCAGGTTCTGAGTGTACTCTAAAACTGTGCTGTATGGACTACAGGGATTTGTTGGTTGAACATGCTTCAATGAAAATATATGTTATTGGTAGAGTGGCTGAAACTAAGCAGATATTTGCAGAACAAGATGACTTTTCTCTACAAACACCGGAATTAAATCTCCAATTACAGGTAAATTGTCATGGCATTCTTTGTTTAGAAATTCTCAAATCGAATCGTTAACCAATTAATAACATTTACATGCCAAAGAACACTGCCCTCTATACTTTCTACCTTATAAAAACAAAAGAATTTTCAAGTGCAAACTGAAAGGCATTAGTGTTTTTCCGTCTCCAGAATCCAAACTCTTCCCCAAAAGTTGGCAAAGAATTCAATGTTGTTGTCAGTTTCAAAAATGACTTGGGTAAAGTGTTGACTGGTGGCACATTCTCATTGGAAGGACCTGGGATACAGAAAACCATGACATTACCATACAGGTGAGAGTTGAAAGGTTGAATAGTAGTTTAGAGTTTACATCTTAAAAGAAAAGATAAATAATGCTACACAGGGTAGATTCAAGTTTATAAATATACCAGTATATGGTCTACATGCACAAGGTATAGGGAAAATATATGAACTACACAATACATGTATATAGTGTAATGAAATGAATGTGTGTTTGGTTAGCAAGTATAAACTTTTCTCCACATTTACCAACCTGACTTCTATTATTAGTATTAATTATTAAAGTGACAATAGCTATAACTATAGATCTTTTTCTTTGACTTTTTTATTTTTACTAAAAAATTTCCTGTGTCATTGGTATCATTTTGTACCGGCCAAAATGTGAACACTGTACGTTAAATCACTTGCAGGTGGAAAAGATGGCCACACGGTTGTGTGTAAGTTTTCAGAGGGCACATCTATTAAAATCATGTTTTGTCATGTACCGGTAAACCATTACAAGATTTACAATACAAGATGACAACTTATTGGGGCCCTGGTTCAAATGTCAAATAAGTTGCCATCTTGAGGGAAGCAAGTATTTCTCTAATGACTTTATGTGTCATTTCCCATGATAGTGTGCATCGTGCATCAACATTTCAAAAATGGCGAAATGGCGACTACTCAACTTTTAGGTATCACATTTCATATTATGTGACATTAGACTTGTGTAGGGTCATGCACGCTCAGAGGCAGCGGCACAAAATTTTGAATGGGAGAGGGGGGGATCTGCTCAAATATGAAATCTAGACTCTTTGAAACTCAATTTCCTGCATTTTGAGAGGCAAATTTTGCTGACATACAAGGGTTTCAGCTGCCACTGACTTTGCCCATGCAAGTGTACCTAAAGCAAGATTTGGTCGTTTTTATGCAGTTATATTTAAACAAAATAATGTATCTCTGTAATCTTTAATTTCTATAAAGTGTCTTTGTTTTAATTACTATTATTGACTAAGGCATCTTGTTATTTCTTTGTATTTAGTGTGGTGACTGATTAATGAATATTATCCTTCTTTCTTTAAAAGGTCACCAAGTGTTTGTCAAACAGAGAGTCAGATATCACGTTTTTCTTTAGTGTTAAAATTCTTTACATCAATACTGTATGAGACACGACCACCACCACCCAGGTAGGAAATTTTATTAATCTAAATGAATTTTGTATAATATGGAATATGAAACTTTTTCCCAAGGACAGACCCAAAAAATAAAGGTTTCTTAGTTTTTGGAATTGCTTTAAGCTCTCAACCAAAACATTTTGTCTGACTTGCCACGATATAGTGAAGTTGTCAATTTATCACTACACTCATAGAATTATATCATCTTTTTTTGGTTCTTATCCTACTGCGAAGAGTGATTGGGTTTTCACTTGCAATTATATCTGAAACCATGGAAACATCATATTTTTCGACAGATATTCTTGAGCTAAACCTCATTGTTACATGTACAGTCTGTTATAAGCCAAGTGTTACAATTCTACTAGGTATCTAAATTATCTCTAACATCACAGTGTGCATACATTTGCATAAAAGTGTAACATTTGATTGATTGGTATAGTGTTAGGTAAACTGCCCAGTAATATGATTGGCGCCCTCTTTAGGTGAACGTTTTCACAAATTTACACTAGAAGGCATCCAAATACTTTCTTGATTTCTTATGAGAATAAATTCAAACAAAAGTTACCTCTAATTCAAGAACAGCAATACTATTTCAAATAACTTGCAAAATTTTAAAAAAAAGGTGGCCATAATATGGTGCTACAACTTCGTCCAGGTTCAGGTCAAAGGTTAAACAACAGTCAGTTAGAATTAGTATATTCATTATGTATTATGTATTAATGAATAATAGTTGGTTACATACAGACATTGGTGTAGTTAATTGAAAATTCAGTTCAGCCAGCAAGGTGCTTATAGTTTCTATAATAACAATTCAATCAAGTTTTAATTCAGAATACAGATAACTAAATCAGCTTTTGATTTCTTTTCATGGCAGTGATATTAAACCCAATGAGACTGGCAGTGTAACGTTTACCCTGACACCAAAGAAGGCCGGGTTCCGAAGAATTCTTGCCAACCTACATTGCAAAGAGTTAACAGGAGTTAACGGATTCTTAGATTTGGATGTTTTACCAGCAGATGAGGCTGCAGGCCCCTAAAATGAAATGTGTGGAAAACCCTGACATATTTCTGACTTCACTGATGTTGTTGCAGAATATTATGAATGTAATTTTTCAATTAATGCTTTAATTGGTTATAATCTGAGGTATATTTTTATATTATCTGGAACCTCCAATTTAAAATTAGTGGTAAACAGAAAAAGTAAATTACAATAAACTGATGAAGTAACAAACTGGAAGCGCTAAATATAAATATATAACCATATAGATGATATCTGATGAGCAACTCGTGATATCAGATTTATTAATCAAGTGTAGAAAACCTTTGGCAAGGAACATATAAAAACTATAAATCATAAATCATAGGTCATGAATTTTGATATTCTATTACATGTATCCAATTCGCAACTATGTCCTCAATGTTAGGTAACATAGATCACTTTTGTGAATTATTTTGTTATTCATGAGTGCGTCCTAATTTTATTAGCATATCTGATCTCATTTGCATACTACAATGTCACTTTTTTGAAGACAGTTATGCCATCAGTTTATTGCATGCAATTAAAAATGAATACATTTGTGGAGTTGTCAATATAATTACTACATTTTCGTGGTAATTCTATCAGTGGTATCACACATTCCATGACAGATTGGCAAATGGTTCAGTTTGATCAATAAACAAATTATGTGCATTACCAAAATTGAGTTGGTAGAATTAGAAATGACAATGACCATAAATGTGATATTAAAGTGCGAAGATACCGTTGATGAGTGTCTGAAATTATTGGTATAATACAGATACATTCAAATTTAACATATTTCAAAGAAGCCATGTTTTGGCCATTGAAAGTTATCAGTTGGTGTCACAAATTGCATGCAAGGTTCAAACAAGTTAAGTGTGTGATATTGGAGATGTGATATCTAAAATATCACATAGCTTTATCATATGTGATAAATTGGATATGATTAAAATGAGACTATTTTTGTGACAAGAAAACAAATGTGATTGTGAAATATTATCTTTTGAATTGGGTAATAAGGTGCATACCTGTATGTGTAATCTTGATTTTAACTACTTTGTATAATAAGTAAAATGAACTTATATCAAAGCAGGTTGGTCAATACTGATGTCAGCGATTGGTTTCTATTCAGAGGGAAAAGTGGATTATTAATTAATTAATGTCAATGTCTTCTATTTTTCATTCATTATGTATGTTAACATTTCCTTCCCGGAAACTTTTTGTCAAAATTTAAGCAAACTTTTTAAATAAGTCATTTATGATTCAATATGTGTCTAAATCTGCGCATATATCAAATGTGTTCCTTGCAATATAAATGTGTAGTATTTGCGTAGCTTAACAACTGTTTTGTCATATGAATTTGAGTATATGCTTATTATTTCAGAATATAAAACAAATTGACCCATTCTGTAGAACCGTAACCATCGAAAAGTTTTGAAAACGTAAACAATTCAAAATACATATTTCTCAACTAGTTCATTGCAGATTGAGCACTATACCTCAGATAATTAATATCAAATGAATCATCTTAATCTTAATTTCAGATTTTTTGATGAGTTATATTATTCACTGTTTTTTCTTACTGCATACAAATAAATTTCTTGCACAAATAAATGAAATTATCAAGCCTGATAGATTTATTTTTGGAAAATGAAAATTATTGAGTTGAT